CGCCAAAAAGTATTAAATATGGCAAAGAAGGATGCAATTCACTGTGGAGATTTAAGGTATTGAGATCTCTGTGTTAAATGACATGGCATCACCATACATAAAGCCAAAGCATTAGGAGCTACGAGAAGAAATACACTGGGACACATTTAGCGGTAGGCATCTAATTCAGTTCTCCATCCATGACAGGTAAGTAAGGACACGGAAGACATAAGTGACATAGTTAATGGGAAGACATAACTGGCATACGCCAAACTCTGAATCCTGGAAACAGCCACATCTTTTTTCTTTTTAATGTTTATTTTGAGAGCGCGAGTGAGTGCAAGGGGAGGGGCAGAGAGAGAATCCCAGGCAGGCTCTGTGCTGTCAGTGTAGAGCCTGACATGGGGCTTGAACTCACAAACTGTGAGATCGTGACCTGAGCCAAAACCAAGAGTCAGATGTTTAACTGACTAAGCCACCCGGGCGCCCCTCACATCTTCTTTCCAAGTCCCATTTAAAAAGAAAAGTCACAAAAAAAAAAAATGACTACAGATGACGTCACAAAGAAAAATGTATTCAAGTCCAAAAAAAGTAGAAATCTTGAGCAACATTCTCTGAATCATAATGTATTATAACCAGAAATAATGAAATACAAAAGCACCTACCACCTGGGTAGATAGGTGGAACCCAGATGAGCCTTAGGTCAGAGAAGAAACCAAAATCACAAGAGGTTTTAAAAACAAAATACCTCCTCTTATGACCTATCAGATATAACTAAAGCAGTGCTCAGAGAATTTGTAGCCTTAATTTTTCCTTTTTCTCCTTGTTTATCGGTATAAAGAGTTATGCTTCTAACTTAAGAAATTTTTTCTAAAACAAGGAAAGTAGGAATAATTTAATAAAAATAAATGCATAAGTGAGAAAAGGGTAATTACTAATAACTAAATACTAAAGTTGGATCTTTGGGGAAGGGAGAGAGGTAAGCTTTTAGCCAACTAACCTAATCAAGAAAAATGGGGTTTGGGCAGGGAGATGGGGGAGGGATGCACAATATAGACAAGAAAAAAGAATGAAAGCATCCTTGAAAAGAATTACAGGGGCTCCTGGGTGGCTTAGCGGGTTGAGTGTCCGACTTCAGCTCAGGTCATGATCTCAGGGTTCGTGGGTTCGAGCCCCACATGGGACTCTGCACTAGGGGTGTGGAGCCTGCCTGGGATTCTCGCTCTCTCTCTGCCTCTCCCCCTCTCAAAATAAATAAAAATAAATAAAAGAACTGTAAATTAATTTGTTCAGTCTCATACAAATAAATTTGACAAGTGGATAAAATGAATACTTTTCTAGACAGACAAAATTTACCAAACTCATTTAAGGAACAGAATGGTCACAACAGATCAATTATTACAGAAGACTCAAAGAGCTACTCCAAAGAAAGGCCCGGGCCCAGACTGTTTCAGAGAGGATCAACTAATCTTTAAGGAACAGATAATCCATTTCCTTTTTTTTTCTTCTTCAGTGTTTTACTTGTTTTTGAAAGAGAGCATGAGTGGGGGAGGGGCCGAGGAAGTGGGGGACAGAGGATCTGAAGCGGGGTTCTGCACTGACAGTGGAAAGCCGGACATGGGGCTCAAACTCACGAACCACAAGATCGTGACCTGAGCCAAAGTCACACGCTCAACTGACTGAGCCACCCAGGTGCCCCAGATAATCCATTTCTACTTAAGCTGTCACAAAGCATCGAGAAAGCCGAAAGCCTCCGTTCTATGAGGCAAGCAGCACAGTGACAGCGAAACCCAACAAAAGGCGTTCCAAAACCTGAAGGCTAATCTCACTAATGAAATTGAAGCAAAACTCCTACATGAAATAACAAAGCCAGGCTGGCAATATATTAAGATATTCACCATGACCAGGTGGGATTTGACCAGGAATGCAAGGGTAGTTCAATGGTAAGGAATCCCTGTCATTATTCCTGTTAAAAGACAAAAAAACCCATATGGTCATCTTCATGGACACTGAAAAGGCATTTGCTAAGCTTTAACTTCCATTGTTGATTTTTTAAAATTCTTAATAAAACAGGAACACAGGGACACTTACTTAACCTGCTAAACATCTGCCCCCTGCACACCAGCATTTTGCATAATCAAAGCTGCTCATTTAAAGTCAGGAATGAAGCAAGAGTGTCCATTATCACGAATATTATTTTTCATTGTTCCAGGGATAGCAGCAGACACTATTAAATAAGACAAATCAAAGTATAAAACTTCCGAAGTAGGAAGTAAAATTATCATTTGCACACAATCTAATAGCATAACTGGAAAATCTAAGAAACCAAATTGAAAAACCGTTACAAACAATAATAGAATTCAGTAAGGGGGCGGGAGTTAATAGCCTTTATATAAATAACTTCCGTTTCAGGAAGAAAAGACTAGCCCAAAACGGGTAACTATCCAGAAGTCAACTTTTAACATATGTGCAAAAAGCTAGATGAGGCAGACAGCAAAACGTTCCCAGGGACCAAAAAAAAAAAAAAAAAAAAAAAAAAAAAAAAAAAAAAAAAAAAAAAAAAGTCTGAGCGAACAAAGGTTTTATCATGTTCCTAGAGGGCATCAACATAAAAAAATCATTTCTTCCTGAACCATAAATTTCATGTAATCCCGGGGAAAAAACACCCAACAGGATTTTTTGCTCTCTCCTAGATAAGTTGCTCCTATAAGTTCAGACAGAAAAATAGCCCAGGAAATTCTGTGTGGGGGGGAGGTTGAGGAATGAACAGGAACAGCAACCCCCCCCCCCCAAATATGAAAAGGGGGTTATATACGTGCTACAATAGGGTTGAACCTATAGGGATGAGCTTGAAAACGTGGTGGTGCTAAGGGAAAGAAGCCAGTCACAAAAGGCCACGTGCTGTAGGATTCCCTTATCATCAAAGTCCAGAATAGGGGACTCTGCAAAGAAGGGGAGCAGGGGATCAGAGAGTGACTGCGAATGGGGTAGGGGTTTCTTCTTGAGGTGACAGAAATGTCCTAAAATTTGCTGTGCTGATGGGTGCAAGATTCTGTAAATATGCTAAAAAACCATTAGTTGTATGCTTCAGATGGGTGGGTTTTATGGTATGTGAATCATATTTCAATAACATTAAAATTCTTAATGTATTATAACTATAATAATTACCATAGCATTGCACTGATGAATATGCTTGGATCCATACCTCCCGCTTTATACCATGTATTTAAAAAAATTAAACCATAAAAGAACTAGAGGAAACCCTGATCTCAGCATGAGGAAGGATATTCTAAGTATGACACAAACTCCAGGGGCCATAAAAGGAAATACAGATCTCACTTCACAAAGAAAATGTCTTCATGGCAGAATCAAAGACAAATGATAAATCGGGGAAACCATATGCAATTCAAATAGACAGACCGAGGTCTAATTCCGTTATATGCAAAGAGCTCCTGTAATTCAATAAGGACAAAACCTACCCAACTGAAAAAGATGGACCAAGGAGATGAATCAGTTCAAAGAGAAAACAGATGGCCCAGACATGAGAAGATATTCATCCTCATTCATGTTACATGTTAATCTAAAACTGCGCTGGGATCCTATTTTTCTCTGATGAGGTGAGCAGAGCCTAGAAGTTTTGAGACGGTGCCGTGATGGGCGAGGGTGTGGGCAGACAGGCTGTCTCACACACAGTCGTCTGAATATGTTAATCAGACCACATAGCTCAAAATGACAAGTACAAATACCTTGGACCCTCGAGAAGTCTATCCTGCAGTTCTGCTCACACCTTTGTGACACACACATGTGGTTGCTGATCGCCGCACTGCTTGTAATGGCAACGGGCAGGTCCAGTGCATATAGAGGACTGGTCAAATGAAACACAGTTCGCCCTTGCTCTGGAAAACTAAGGGGCCGAAGAAGGAAGAAGCTCTTTAGATGCTGACCCACAGGGCCCCCTGGGAGGACGTGTGACTGTGTCCCAGGTGTGCTGGGTTGTGCAGACAACGTCTGGAAGGACACACAGGACGGCGCTGGCTGCCTCTGAGAAGGGGAGTGGGCGGCCGTACGACAGGAGCGAGATGGGGACTTTTGTCTGTATACACGCCCCTCGTTCCTCTTGTATACTGGACCACATGAGTGTACTACCTTGTCTGAAGATAAACACAGAACAAGAAAGAAAAAAGAGCAGCGGTGTAAGCTCAGTGATGAGTGGCAACCACTCCTGAGCTGTGGGATGGAGCCAACGGGGAGGGGGTGGGAACTGTGGGGAACAGGAGGCAGAGATCTTCAAAGAGACAAGAGCAGTTCAGTTCCAACCAACAGCTGCAGTTCAGGAACCCAGGCCTATGTTGCCAGATCCTCTGATTTTTTTTTTCCCCCAAGAGACATTAAAAATCCAGGTTATTATGCAAATCTCCCTGTTTTCAAATGTTTCCAAATACTGCAACTTTTCAAAAACCCTATGGTGGCTACAAATAATCAGAGGGTTTGTCATCCCTATCCTAGATGGCCAAGGAAGACAGACCCTTGGAGATCACCAAGTCCAGCTCCCTAATTTGACACACTGAAAAAGCAAGGCCCAGAGAGGGCAAGGACCTGCCCAAGGTCACACAGTAAATCAGGCCCCAAGCTAGGATCCCATTCAGGACTATTTGCTTCCACACTGTCCTACTCTGCTGACAGCACAGGAAAATGGTGATTGAGACAGACGTGGTGCATCGTGGGGTCACAGACAGGGGGCTGGGGTCAGAGAGGGCTCCTGGAAGGAGGTCGCACCCAGTGGGAGTCAGCCAAAGGGGGTAGGTGCTGTCGTGGGGGAGGCAGCACAGCACAGGCAAAGACCGGGAACAGGGTGAGTTCTGGGCAGGGTCCTGGTGGGTGGACATCCCAGTTCGGATGGCATTCCCTCTGCCTCTGCCCCACAGAGGCTTGGGTGGGGGAAGCAGGACGTGTCTAGGAACACGGCAAGCTCTGTGGGTTCAGCGGACAGCAGAAGGGGGCAGGGGAGGGCGTGCACTCACACTTACGCAGCTCCCGGCTCTTGCTCGGGCAGGCCAGGTGCTGGCCCGGTGGGTTCTGGGTCCTCTGGAGACAGGCCAGCATGGCTGAGCTGGGGGCCCGCGGCGGGGTGCACTCTGCGGCAGGGTCCCTGTGAGGAGGGAGATGAGGTGCTTGTCACTCAGGCTGCTCCGTGTGGGCCTCCCACCTCCCCAGGCTGGGGTCACTGCCAGCAGCCTCCCCACTACCCAGCAGAGCGTCAGAGACTTTCAAAGGAGACGCCCCTTCTCCCTCATCTGGCGGGGAGGAGGACACTGAGGCCCGGAGGCGTCAAGAGGCTCATCCGTGGCCTCACAAGAAGGAAAAGATTCCAGATCTCAGGGCGCCTGGGTGGCTCAGTCGGTTAGATGTCTGACTCTTGATTTTGGCTCAGGTCATGATTTCATGGTTTGTGGGTTCAAGCCCTGAGTTGGCTCTGTGCTGATAGCATGGAGCCTGCTTGGGATTCTCTCTCCCTCTATTTCTGCCCTGCCCCCTCTCAAAAATAAACTTAAGAAAAAAAGAATCCAGGTCATGAGTGGTGGATTTCCACTGTGATGGGGCCAGAACAGAACGGTCAGACATGTCCTGGCCCTGCCCATTGTGTGGGTCACCTCCTCCAGGGGGCCTCCCTGATGCCCCCACGCCTGGACACATCCGCACCCCCTCCCTTCCAGTGGGTTGTGTCCTCTGGCTCTCTTGTCACCACCTCTGTCCCTGCTCTTCAGCCTCGGGCTCATGGAGGGCAAAGGCCCCATGTGGTCATCTTTGGAAGCTACATGAGGGGTACCCAGGAACTGCCAGTGTGCATGTGGGTGTTCCAGCGTTTTGGAATGTTGATCTGGGGCATTTCTCCCGGCAACCCTACAGGAAGACGTCCAGGACGGCATTGCTGGGAGAAAGCGTGATCTCCCGCCCTGATCCCCACTGAGCCTGACTGAGCCCTGAGCCCAGGTCCCAAGGACTCCCTGCTTGAGCTCCCCACCCCAGACAGGAAGGGCAGGGCCGCCCAAGGCAGCTCTACCCTGCCAGGCTGGGCAGGGTCCCCCACAGGTGGCAGCTCAGATGAGGCTCCAGACAGGTCCACATTGTGCTCACTTGCCCAGAGTCAGATGCCCAGTGTTTACAAGGAAATATGCACTTTTATCTTCGAAAAACCCACTTGCCCGAGAACACAGAGCCTCTGAGGGGCAGGGTGAGCCTGCCCTGGAGGCCACGGAGAAAAGACAGGAGTTTTCCCCGCAAGGGCCCCTCCCTTCCTCTCTCCTCAGTAAGGAGCCAGAGCCACGGGCCCAAGCCACCCCTGATGTC